AAAAAAAAAAAAAAAAAAGGAGCCGGGGTCCTTGGAGAGATGGTTGATTCTATACCTGGGGCAGGAATTATCCAAGATGAGCCGGGAACACTCTATAGGGCCAGGAAGTAAGAAAACGCTACTCGTCAAAGACGAAATACCCGCAATGACCCAGGCATGCCAATGGGCATAGAAGCCAAATGCAGGGCCCCCAGTGGCCACAGTCAGAACAGTCTGAGCAAGAAAAGAAAGTTGTATGGGATTCTAACTCAAAGTACAAAATAAATATGCCCACCCTGACATAAAGAAATCATTGACTAAAAATGGGGAGAACAGACAAGTCTCCCGTCCAGAAGGATTCCAGATACCCCAGGTAGACACCCCACCTCTACGCATGACTCCCCCACCCTTACGTAGAGCAGCACCTGGTGACTGCCTTCTAAGAGGACAGCGTGGACAGGAAGGGGACAGCAGTAAGTTTACAGGGTCAAAACCCTGACAAACGCTGCCTCAAGCCAAGCGACCAAGGTCAACATCAGCGGTGATAAGCGCGTGGCAGGATGTGTCCACCAAAAAAAAAAAAAAGTCTGAGAAACCATCACCGTCAAGAGGAACCTAAGCAGATTTGACAACTAACTGTAATGTGGGGTCCTAAAGGAGACTGGATGCTGGGACCCAAAAGGACATGAGGTAAAAAACTGAGGAACGGGCTTAGTTAAAAGTAGCGTATTAATATTGGTTCATTACTTGCAACAAATGCATCACACTAATGTAAGGTGTTAACGGCAGGACACTCACGTGGCCTGCATGGGAACTCCGTTCTATCTTTGCAGTAATTCTGCAAACCTAAAACTGTTCCAAAATTTTTTAAAAACTAGTTTTCAAACAACAAAGGATGTGAGGCCTGTGGGACAACAGTAAATGGCCCGACATATGTGTAATGGGAGGAGAGACGACATGGGTCAGCGCAATCTTTGAAGAGCTGGAGGCCACAGATTTTTCAAAACTCACGAAAGAGATAAATCTACAGATTCAAGAAGTGCCATATGTCTCAGGCAGGACAAATACAAAGAGATCCACACACATAGCAGCACCACAGTCAAAATACGGAGGGAGGAGAGAGAAACAGAAACTCTTAAGAGCAGTCAGAGGAAAGAAGACATCACATCCAGCAGAACAACCGTAAGCGTGATGGTTGGCTTCTCATCACCTGAAACCAGCTCTGGGCTATTTCAGGTTAGACGCTGCCAGGGCTTTTTCACTGAAGCTTGTAACTAACCTGTCATAGGAGATAGTGACCTGTAACTACCTGCACAACGTTAAAAGCTGCTCACTTCTAAATAATTGTTTGGGAAAAAAGATCATAAGACGTGCCATTGTGAATGGACTTACATCTAGAGTCATTAACGGCAAGTGTCATTTGTGAACCAGTAGTACCTTGTACTCAGGTCGCACAATGACCTAAAATATGTTTTACAGGCATAAGGTGGACATCTGAGATGGACAAAGACAGGCTTGTAATCAAATAATTTGACAGAAAGAAAGCTCTGTAAACAAGGTAGCTATTAAGGAAAAGAAAACCAAATAATAACAAAAAAGGAAATCCAACTATTCTTCAAAGTCCAACTATTCTTCATAGCTCTGTTGTAAAAAAAATACTTAATGGAAATACTCTAAATGATGACTGTGGATTTATCCAAAAGCAGCGATATACCTGGATTGGGTGGGTGGGGGCCAGGGAGGCTGAAGGAGCCAAATCTGCCTTCCAATCAGGATGTCAATAACAATATTGATAATGGGCCAGTGACAACATCTGATATTTTATTATTAAATCTGATCATGAACAGCATGGTAGACATTTTTCTAAATCATTATTTAGAAAATATATTAAATCATTGTATTAAAATGTATTAAATCATTGATCCCTCAAGTGCGCCTCTAACATTGTACTATGTCATGCTCCATTATGCAGATGAGGAAACCGAGGCACAGAGGTACAAAGGAAGCCTCCCAGGGTCACACAGCTGGGATGTGGGGAGCTGGCCTGCCCGTCAGGCTGTCGGACGTATTCGCTGGGGTGTTACCCACAACCTTGTGCCTCTCAGGACCTGACATCGATAATACAGAGAGGCCTCAAAGTCTAGGTTGAAAATATGAGAAGACCCTCCAGTCCAGGGGATGGCAATCTTTCTCTGTAAAGGGCCAGATAGGAAGTATTTTAGGGCCACATAGAGACTGTTTCACCTATTCTCTTAGCTCTGGTAGCATGAAAGCATCCACAGATAATATGTAAATGAATGGTGCAGCTGTGTTCCGATAAAACTGTATTTACAAAAACAGGCAGTGGGCCACAGTGTCCTAGTGTCTGCCCAAGACAGCAAATGTGGTACCTTCTGAGGATCACAATTCCAGGGTGGGCAGAAGTGCCAGTGTGGACGGTATTTCCCACTGCAATTTTAATAAGAACATTTGATTTTTCTGAAAAGGGTTTATCCATAACTTTAAAAATCACAAACATTTAAAAAAAAAAATCTAAGCTAACCATGAAAAAGATAGAAATATAAAACTTCCAAGCCAGGTGAGGGAAAATGGACTGAAAAATAAGAGCTCGATAGAAAATAAGGGAAGAAAAGAGAAAAAAGAGCTGTAGGGAGCATCAAAGAACACAGCAGGGAAAACGTAATTTCAGTCCTCACAGTAAATGCAAATGGACTAAATCTTCCAGGTAACAGACAGAGACCAACGCCAGTTACACGCTGTTGGGTGAGATACATCTAAGACTAAAGACACAAAGTTTCAATAAAAAGATAGAAAAGAACAGATGAAGCGAACGCTAAGGAGCATTTACCTACGATGCTCTCATCAGACAAAGGAGAGCTGAAAACAACAGAATTAAAGGCCAAAAGCACCGTTAAGAGAGAAAGGGTCAGTATGTAATTACATGGATTGGAAGGCAGACCAATTTTAAATTTGTATTCACATGACCATGCGGCCTTGCAGCAGGTAAATTGATACTTGACTTAACTACAAGGGAAATCGATGGTTCTCTAGGGCAGTATTTTAACACACACACCTTTCAATAATGGAAAGATCAAGAAAGTGAAAAAGAGCATATAGAAGATTCACCTGGTGGATACATTTGTACCTACACTGTATCCGTATCTGCATCTATGTTTCCATTTTCGTCCAACAGTGGTTGGCTGTATTCCATAGCACACACGAATTATTTATAAAACTGACTGTGTGCTAGCCCTCTAGCCAGCCTCAGCAAGTAGGAGAGAATCAATAGCCCATAAATCATGGTTTCTGACAACAAAGCAATTTAGTTAGAAACCAATTAAAAAAAAAGCCAACTAAAAAAATCTCTATCCATCTGGAAATTAAAAAAAAAAAGTTTTTCTAAATAACCCATGAAGCAGTAAAAAAAAAAAAAGCATAGCGAAAATGAAAAAAATACTTAGAAATAAAAAAATAACACTGCATATAAACCCTTGCATGAGCTCAACTTGGTCTTTTCTGGGGGTGGGGGTCCAGGGGTCCTGACTGTGGGGCCCTGGCAGAGACTGGGCAGGGAGGGTCCCTCTTGTTGGGCTTTGCCGCTCTTCACTACCCAGGAGAAGACAGGCCCCCTTGCACCCCACAGGTGGGGTGGGGGTTCAGCCTTGTTCCTTGGAAATCTCTAAGCCAGGTGTTTGCAGGCTGGGGAGCTCCGAACAGAGGTGCTCTGGGTTTGGCTGCCCAGGACTCTGTGCAGTGAGCAACCTTTCCCTGTCCCCCCTGTTCCATGTCCATGGAGTTGACTGTGCCCATCTCCCCTGGCAGGAGACCAAGAGGGGCCAGAGAACACAACAGCTGGCACCTGGTCAGGCCCGGAGCAGTCCTGGTGGGGATGCCTGTAGGCTGGGCCCATTTCTGGGTCACAGAAGCAGCCTTACCCAGGGATGAATGGATGGATGGATGGACCGATGGATGGACCCATGGATGGATGGTCCTACTGCCACCGTGCAGATGGGCACCGGGCTCGGGCGGGGAGGGAGCATTCCAGTACAAAGGCTGAGGGGTCAGCGCTTTTCCTACAGAGTCTCCTGAGCCCGTGGGAGGAGCGCACAGCACCTGCCAGCAGGTGCACACCTGATGTGCATGCTCCCCCCCCCCAAGGGTGCCTCAGGGCTGCCTGGTGCTCAGGTGCATGCCCGTGAGCCCCCCACCTTGCCCCGGACCTGAGGGGGGGACAGCTCCGGCCCCTCCACGTGGTCTGGGAGGGGACAGGGGCGGGGACTGCCGGCAGTGCCGCTGCGCCGCCGTCTCCCCGGGGCCCCAGGCCCGCGCCTCCCACCACCTGGCAGTGACACAGCCTGTCTGGGAAGCCAGGGCCCCCGCGACCCGGGGCGGCACCGCGGCGG